CCCCCGCCCCACAGCAGCAGCAGCAGCAGCAGCCAACCGTGCATTCATTCACATCCACTTCATCACCTAGCTGAAACTCAGTAACAACAAGTGAGCACAACTAATAAAGCGATTAAATGATAATTGCGCTGGACGCGCGGTGCCCAATCCCTCCAGGCTAATTCTCTTCGCACATTCCGCTTCATCCCCGCACATCACTTGTCCTTCTGCAACACGAGCTTATCTTTTCCGCTTCAGACTAGCAGCCTGGTGTTTTTTATGGAACCCGAAAGAAGAAGACTTTTAGCCGAGTAAAACGGAACAGTAATTCGAGCGCTCTGGCGCCATTCTGGTGCTCCTGCAACAGCAAGTAGGATAGATAAGGAAGCGTCTCCTATAGCTACTGCTAGCAGCAAGCTACAACTATTGTCAGTGGCTCTTACCCTCTCAATGTCTGATCCGAGCTGATGACTCCTGGACTCCTGAAAAGCTGCTGCTGCTGCTGCTATTGCTGTTGCCGTTGCTGCTGCTGCTGCTGCTGCTGTTGTTGTAGCAGTGGCCACTACTGCTACCGCACCGCAGCACAATGCCAGGCAAACCATGCAATGCTCCTGGATAGGGAGAAGGAGTAGCTGCTAGCAATGGGTAGTTGAGAGAGAGAAAGTTTAATGAGTGGATGGTCGGCTGGGGGCGCGATCGGATCCTCGCTACGGCTTCTTCTCAAGTTGCCAACAATCCGCGATGCTTGCTGATGAGAGCCACCTCTCACCCTTTTTTACAAACGACGACCACTTTTTTCAAGAGCATTTTCACAACTCTCGAGAAGTGGCTGTCCTCAGTGTCCGCCCTCATCTCAGCAACAATCAAGACGGTACAGAGCACCTCACTTTAAGCTAGCCGACAGGCAACCAGCATTCCCCCTGAAGCACAGCACCGAATCCTCCTTCGTCCCGAGCGCAGGCAGTCTAAAGGTCGCCGCCACCATCAAATCAAAGGACGCCATTTACCTCGGCCCCATTCAATCACCTCCTCATTCCACGTGCTGCTACTACTCATCGTTTAATTTTGCGACCATCAAATGACTCTGCGAATAAAAAATGGGTGACATTGCAATTAGCCCTTCTTCCTTCTCTCCCTCCCTCTTCCTTTCATACCACTGCTTCTTCAATCGTCTTCGACCTCAAAAATATGGTGAGGACGGAGTACGACTGTCGCCCCCTATCAAATACCACAAAACGTCGGTGGCCGGCTCACTACTAAGCAACTGCTACCGAATGTAATGACCTGCTTGAGACATCAGATCGCCTACGGCCTTAAAGAATGACGCCGTCCTAGGCTCTTTTGAAAAGACGAATTATACGAAGTATCTGATCATAAATTATGATGCCAGATGTCTAGCATCTAAGTTTATCAATGAGATCAAATGCTTTTACACTAATGCATAAAAAGCGCCCGGCGGTAAGTACCAAATGGGGGCATAAAACTCAAGATCAATCGATCTGGCGTAGCTAAAACTTGACATGTGAAACTATCCACCAATATCATTAACATGAAATAATTATGTTTATTGCCCTGGCGATCTTGCCACATATATGTCAAGACTTGCAGCCTGACTGAAGTGTGGTAACGCAGTAAAGGTCAGTCACAAGATGCAAAAGTTACACCTCACGAGGTAGCATAGGCAACTGCAAAAAAAAAGAAACGCAGCCCCCGGTGTTTTGCATGTTTTTCGGCTTAATCTATGGCGACAAATCCGTAACTGGAAGGCGAACTAAAAATCTCAGCTGATCAAAGATGCGAAGCAACCTGAATCATCGCGAATCACCTTCCCCAAGGAACTGATTGAACACCAGGCCACATTCTCAACATGATCGAAAGAAGGACATCCACCAGTTAAAGAGAGTCGGAAACTGTTCTTTTTTCCTGCACGGAAAAATGGAGATGTGAAGAATCACCACCCAATCTGCCTGCTTTCATCAACAAGCTGTTCACGAAGATTGTCACTGAACGACAAAAAAGGCTCCCCGACGAACAGCAGCCGGGACAGCAAGCTCGATTCCGAAGAATTACAGCACGATGAACAAGATTAAACCAGTTGCTGGAGCGCGCAAAGAAATATTAACTCCCGCTTTGTTTTCCGTTCGTCAATTACGAAAAAGCAATTGAGAGCGCAGAGCTGAATGCTGTGCTATTAAATCCTGTAGATGGAGGACTTGATGAGAACTATGTGGAAATTATTCAGGAAGCAAACATAGGCTGTTAGACAGAATGACACCTCTTTCCATTCAGATCCCTGTAATGTTGGAGAAGGGTGTGAAACAGAGGAATTTCATATTATCGAAACTTCTCTATCAGTTCAAGCCAGGATTTACAATGCTTACGTGCGGCAATTCTTTATGGTCTTTTTATAATAAAGGCCGAATGGCCGTGCAAAAAAAAAAGCTTTTCAAGGCTTGAAAGAAAATTGCGTCCAGCACAGAGCTTTTCATTTTCTTCCTGTCGCAGGCTATGAGGTACACATCAACCGCAAAGATTTTAAGGGCTTCGTTGAGTTTTAGTTAAAACATCGTTTTAAAAATCGCAAAACTAACAGGGATTGGATCAGACCGCGAAGGCCACCTGTTGCCAGCACAACGCCATTCTCCTGGCGCATCCATATCCCTTCTTTTTGCAAACTTGAATCTTACCATCATCTCTACATGCAGCTTCAGCTCTGTCGTGCTCGCGAGGTGTTCTGTCGACTTTTACAAGACGGTTAATGAATTCCTGCGGCAGCACTAGTTAGTTAAAGAGCATTTTGAGAGGTTAATCAAGTGTGGCACGAAAATCCCATCACTCCCCCTGTAGATCTGAATGGCGCAGAAGCAACTGGTCCTGTTCCTTTCTGCTTAACTGCTTGTTTCTCTTCATATCGTGCTTTACACATACGTAACAAATTGCCTTGTCTTCTGTTTTCCGCATGGCGGCTGCATGACTTTCAGCTGTTTATCGCCAAATGGTCAGGCTGATAGTAGTCCGTGCTGCCCAAGCTGAACAGCTGAAATGTATCGCTTTCTTGGCCTGCTTGAAGCTGCCAGACACTTGCCGTGCTTTGACGCTGCCAAAGCGAGGGTCTCCTCCTCACCCACTTCCTTGATCTGCTCGGCTCAAATTTTATGTAAGACACTATACGTATATATACATATATATGTACATATATATACGTACACATATGTATATATGTAAATATATATATAAATACATAAATATATATATATGTCTTATATACGGCTCAAACTGTTCTCAGTGAAAGCACTATGTAAATACGTGTGCCAGTGGACGATGGATGAATGCTTAATTTCCTTAAGTTAATTTACTGCTTCAGCAAGTCTCAACAAGGGGGATGAGGAAGCTCTAGTTTGCAAGCAACGAACAAAACTCATCATGCATGTAAGTGGGCAATTACTACAACACCGCACAATTCAACTTTTTTATGACAGCTTCGAAACTGCTTATCATACACTGTTCGTCCGCTAACTACACTCTCAGTGAAATAAAATGTTTGCGTAAAATGATGCATCGCTAAAGCAATGCTGTCCTTGGTTTCAGCAGTCCACAAGCTTCCAGAAATGGTAACGCTACCAATGCCTGCGATGTCTTGTCTTTGAAATTTATGGGTTATTTTTGAAAAAACTTTATGGCTAGTCAATCCTAATTTCACCAGCTGAAAAGGCGCACTTCCATCGAATAATTGTGAGCCCATCACTGCATCGTTCGCATCTACATTTTTCCACGTTGTTTTAATTCATAGCCAGGTGAATTTCAACGCGCACCCAACCACTCAAACAATAAAACGAGGGATAAGACTGACAATAAGCGAAAAGAACGTTGTGGAAAAGTACATATGCGCGCTGGAAATTTGTACACAAAAAAGTACAACAAACGGGAACAAGCAGCGAATTCCCTCGGAAAAAAAAATAAGTGACAGAAGCACATGACGAGTCAAAAAGAGGCGCAGTTTGTATTTTTCGTTTTCCTAGCAAGACGGCGCCGCTTTCTGTTTTAGGGACCAACTAGTTTCTAATCAAATTAATACCTAAGCTTAGCGTTCTTGCACCCAGTTTTTTATTCTCCTGCTCACTTTAGCATTTCCCAACTAAATCTACTGCCCCTTTGTAGTTCTTGTGTCGATCAATTTAGTTAATGACATTTTTGCTACTTCACCACCATAGTTCCTCTGCCCCTCTAAATCTAACCAACAGAGCGAAAAGACAACCCAGCGATCATTCCCTCATGATCACAATATTTTTACAAATATATAAACAAGCATACGAAGCGTATATATATATGCATGTATATATATATATATATATATACATATATATGGATGTAAATGACCGCACTATTTTGCGTATAAGGAAGAGGAACTGTACATTCTTAAGATTGCTAAACATAAAAAAAATATGCATAAATACGTACATATACATAAACGTATTTATGCGTGCGAATGGAATGCACTATTTTGCATATAAGGAGGAAAAACTGTATACTCTGGAGATTGCCAAACATCAAAAAAAAAGTATACAGGAAGGAAATGTTTTTTGTGAATAGGCCTTCTAATGCGTACCCGATCAAGATAGCGACGTTCGCGATAGACGCATCTGCCTCCATCCCACCTCACTCAAGTATTTGCGTACTTGGGGAAAAAATTATTCTGGTGCAGCATTTGTAGAAAAAAAGCACACACAAATTCTGCAAGGTGGAGCAGTTTAACTGGGTCGTTCCCGGCTTAGAAGGCAAAATCCGCCTTTCATCCCAACGACTTTGCTTTGCTCCTCCTCAGCCCCTAAATATTGCAAGATTTGCTACTCCAAGTTATTGCATTATTAAAGTTCTTTCTCAAAGCAACAGGATGGAAGGACAAGGACAGGCTTTTCTGCTTTCGGTTCAAAGCAATCACTACTTCCAACGCAAACATACAAATGGCGGTTAGCGGACCAGAAGAACTGTTGAACAGGAGCCGCTTTTCCCAGAAAACAACAATGCTGCTAGAGGTGTTGTAAATTCCCGCTCATTTGTCAACCTCAGTCTACTCAAGCTTCTGAATAGAGAAAGAGGCCTGTAACAGAAAAGAGTAAAGGAAGCACGTAGTATTATCGAACAGCCACAAGGCGGTTCTCAATCCTACAGATAAAGTACGGGGCAACGAAATGGTCACTGGATTTCACATCCATCATAAAAATCGACGATCTCAATTATAGCAAATGAAAAAGTTCAACATTCAGTTCGGTCCATTACCATAAATTATTCTACAGAATAGGTAAGAGCGGCCGAGACGAAAAAAAAAAAAAGATTAAATTTAACCTTTCATTTGCTTTCCCCGTCTATAAATCTGGAAATTCGATCACCCTGAAAGAAGCTTGAAAATTAGGAATAGCAGATTTTGAGCGATATATTGAAGCGGAGGCACGCATATGTGCACAACGATCGAAACACAAAAGCGCTGCTGCACAGTGCGCCCTTGAAAACACGCAATTCGGGGACGTGCTGCGCACTCTCCCACCTGCTACTGCTGCTGCTGCTGTTGCAACATCTATAAGATTTGCATGTTATACGTGATGCA